GGAGCAAGAATAATTTGAACTCAGCTGGAAAAGTGTCATGCCTATGAAAAGATTGTACAACTCTGTACATACACAAGATGCAAACAGGATGATCTGTATAAGACTTCCTAGTTTCTCCAAGACACTATGTTATTCTTCTAAATAACAGACCTATGGTCATGGACCTCATTGAGAATGTAAAGAATGCTTAGAATGCTTACGGCAGGGTGGTGGTGGCACACGCCTTTAATCCCAGCACTCGGGAGGCAGAGGCAGGTGGATCTCTGTAAGTTCGAGGCCAGGCTGGACCGACAGCCTCCAAAGCAATACAGAGAAACCCTGACTCGTAAAACCAAAAAAAAAAAAAAAAAAAAAAAAAAAAAAGAATGCTTACAACCATGCCAACCTTTCGACATGTGTCACAACACAGTCATCTAAAGGTTCATAAGAACCACTGATGGCACACACCTTTAATGCCAGCACTCAGGAGGCAGAGGCAGGTGGATCTCTGAGTTCAAGTTTGCCAGGTCTACAGGATGAGTTCCAGGACAGCAAGGGCTACACACAAAGAAATTCTGTCTCAAAAAACAATAACAACAAAACAAAACAAACAAACAAAAAAACCACAGTACCAATTTAATAATGAAAAAAGATTACACATACATATTTCATAACATATGATGATTTTGTCTTGGGTTGCATTCATAGCTATCCTGAGTCACTGGGGCCCATGGCTGGGCATGCAGGCTGGGCCATTTCACATAAGAACAAGAAAAAACACACACAACACAAAGTTTGTTCATTTCAGAGCACTTCATGAGCCTCTTGGACCCCAACCATAGCACATGCTGGTCCCACAGACCCTAGGTAACCCTAGTGCAAATGCTTCATAGCTGATGAAGTCTGCAGTTATTTGTCACTTAAAAGGTACTATTAATTTCTGTTTTGTAAACTGCTCTCAGACAGTGCAGACTAAATGGACAATTGCACTGACTAAAGGAAAAATAAAATAACATTTGTTGGGTAAAAGTCAAGTCATTTACTCAAACCCAAAGAGCAGAAGAACCCGTGATGTTAACAACAGCCTCACACAAAATAGTCCTGAGATCTAAGTTCGTTTTATAAGCTACATGGCTGCTGGATCTCAGCTCGTCAACACCCTGGTTCACTCTGTAACCAAGCTACAAATACAGTAACTGTGTTACTGCAGTGGGTGGAACAGTTTTCAAAATAAAAATCCCTTAAAACACCAACCTTCCAAGAATTACTATAATTAGGTCTGAGTTACTTACTTAATAGAACCACTCCATCTTTAGCACCTGCTCGCTCACCGGCAGCTTAAGGAGAGAAGTGCATCCCCTGACTTTTGGAAACATGATGCATTTTTCTCCAGCTCAGCACCAGCATGTGTGTTAGAAACATCCAACAGCAAAACAAATGTGGAAAATGTGTATCTTCACCGCATGCCTTGGTTGTAGAAGACAAGGAAGTTCCAGCTTTGGGTTGTTTAGCAGGCAGGAGGTATGGTGCCAAACACCACAGAGTTGCTCTGCTTTGGGTCTCTGATGATGAAAGAGTCTGGCAGGCAGGAATCAAGCATCTATTATCTGATGTCCACTGGCAGGCTACAAAAGCACAGGAGGCCTGGCTGCCTATCAGGAGGAAGGAGTCACCAAAGAGCCACACTAAGCTCAGAGTGTGGCAGCAACCCAAATGCTGAAGGCAATATTTCCTCCATGGAAATTCAGTAGGAAATAATCTGTCTATATCCATGTTTACAGAGACAGTGCTTCCCGCTGATGGAGAGAGAACACGGTCTCCAACTGTCCCACTTTGCCATCTACCAACTTCAGAAAGCTATTTAAGCCTCCCTATTCTTGCTTCTTCAACTGCATCTACCCCAAAGGGAGTTGTAGGACTAGGGAGGAAACTTTCAGAAAGTGCCTGCAAGATACTAGGCACTCCATAGATGGTAGCTGGCATCATCCCTAATAGCTGACAAGATTAGTCAATTTGCCATCTCTCTATTACATTTAGGTGTTCTTAGAAAAATTACAGACTCTATTTTTTTTTTCCTTTTTAGTCAGGTAGGTTTACTTCACCGTTTATATGTTTGTTTTGAGACAGTCTTGTTCTGTAACCCACACTTACTTGGAACTCAACATGTAGCCCAGGCTGGCCCTGAACTGGTGCCCAGCATTCTCCTGCCTCAGCTTTCCCAGGTGCTGAGATTACAGGCATATGCTACCAAACTGACTTCTTGAGGTTTTTTAATTGTTTGGTTTTGTTTTTAAATACTGTAAATACCTGGCTAATTATTTTTATCAAAAACATACCAGTACTTGCCTGTAATTTAGGTACAAGATCATCCTTGGCTACATAAAATGTCAAAGTCCATCCTGGGCAAAACTTGAGACCCATCTCAAGAAGTAGACACACACACACACACACACACACAACTTTTGTATACATTGCTACTTAAGGCCCACAGAGTTGAACTTTTCATCTACTTTAATTGGACTCCCCCAGACAGTTTTTAGCTATTTGGATCTGGATAGATTTCAACCTTCTTAGTCAAGACCAAATTTCAAAACATCATTATTCTTACCAGCACTATTCCAAGTCTCCTAACTGCCCTTTCCCTCCAGACATCATGATAAATCCAACTATTTATTTTAGAGAGAGAGAGAGAGAGTTGCACATGTCATGTAACACCTGTGGAGGCCAGAGGACAACTCTGTGAAGCTGTTACTCTCGTAATACTTACTGTGGTCCTGCAGACCTAACTCAAGCAAGGCTGAGGCTCAGCCCAAGTCCAGATCTAAATTGGACACAGTCATGAATGTCTACACCTCTAACATTCAGGGGCAAAGCTGGAGGATTATGAGTTCCAGGCCAGCCTGGGATGCACAGCAGGATTCTCTACATGGAGTACTAAAGGAAAAGGAAAAAGAAAGAAATGACAGGGGGCCTGGAAAGACAGCTCAGCACTTAAGAGCACCTGCTGCCCTTCTGGGACTCAAATTTGGTTCCCAGCACCCATCTCAGATGGCTCACAACTGCCTCTAACTTCAGCTCCAAGAGCCCTCTTCTGGCCTCCAGGGGCACCTGCAGTGCACACACATCTTTTAAGAAAGAAAGGAGCCTGATGGTGCCTGGCCTTTAATCCCAGTACTCAGGAGGCAGAGGCAGATGGATCTCTGAGAGTTTAAAGCCAGCCTGGTATATAACTCAAGTTCCAGGACAACCAGAGCTATCACACACACACACACACACACACACACACACACACACACACCTGTCTCAAAAAAAAAAAGCAAGAAAAAAAAGAGAGAGAAAGAAAAACCCATATCTAATTTCACTCCCATAAGTCCCATAACGAAAAGGCCTATAGGAACCAGTATATTCATAACCATCCTCTTTGTGACTGCTCAGGCTACACTTTTCTCAGATTCATAATGGTTTCTCTGACCTATGAATGGCGCTTCCTCTATGTGGCATCATTCGCCTCTCCCTACTGCCCTGAGCAATGCTGGAGCACCACAACTCATGCGGTCCTATTCCGTGCTAGCAACCCTCACCATTCCTCTCTGAAGCACAAAATACAACTGGCATAGCTGGGCGTTGGTGGTGCATGCCTTTAATTCCAGCACTTGGGAGGCAGAGGCAGGCGGATCTCTGTGAGTTCGAGACCAGCCTGGTCTATAAGAGCTAGTTCCAGGACAGCCTCCAAAGCCACAGAGAAACCTTGTCTCGAAACCCCCCTTTCCAAAAAACAAAACAAAACAACTGTCATAAAATAACTGAAACTGCTATTACAGTTTAATGCTGCTCTTATCAAAAAAAAAAAGAAAAAAGAAAAGAAAAGACTCCAAATGAATCTGGGTCCATTCCCATTTCTAGTTGCCACAACTGAAGTTCACCAACATATGCCTGATAAGTTATATACACCTTTGTTATCTTCAGTACACCTTTGTCTATAGAGGAAAAGTAGTGTGATACGTGAGGGACTCAAGAGCATCACTCACAAAAGACTTGCAGCAGTGTATTGGCTAACCTACCTCCCGCATTCCTTTGAAGCAAGAACAAAACAAAAACCACTGCTTTAGCAAGGGCAAAATAAACTGAAGACTAAACTTTCCAGCGGAATACTAAGTTTCTCCGTGCATCCTCAGGTGTTCCGTGAAACAAGAGTCCAACTTCAGTTACCAGTAAGCAGATACGCAACTAAATCAAGACGGCTGCCACATTTGGCACCATCCACCTCCCTTCTTGGCAGGCTCCGAGAGGCCAGGAGTTGAGCTGGTCTGGGAAGAATGATTTATCCTCCCACGTTTAGAAGTGGTCCCTTTGCAACAGAAACGCTGTACTGCTAATGAATTTTGAATTCTAACCTTGTCAAACCTGTACCCCCCCCCGACCTGATTCACGAAAGAGAATAATCTGATTCCTGTGTGCCACTGACAAAAACAAACAAGCAAACACCACTGTCCAATTCTTTTTGGAGGAAAAGAGAAAAAGTTGCTTCCTTTGCTTCCAAAACCCGATCTCTTTCTACAAAACAGAGTGACCACTTGGAAAATTCCAAGGCAGATGTTAAGAGGTTAAAGGCTAAGGCACAGGCAGATAGATGTTAAGAGGCTAAAGGCTAAGGCTGTTGATGGAGGCTGCTCAGGGTAGTAGCGTGAGACGAAAACCAGCAGGCCCGGGCGAGCAGCAGCTCCCAGCCACCGGCCGAGGATCCACGAAGGGTTGACAAACGCCAAGCCCCAAGCAGCCAGGTTCGTCACACAGACCCTGCCGGGGCAACAAGCGCCCAGGCCGGCTCTGCACTCCCGGGAGCGCCCCGACTCCAGCGCAGCCCTTCCCCGGGACTGCGTGCCGGGGAGGCTGGGATCAGAGAACGCGTCCCGGGCAGGGCTCCGGTGAGGACGCCCGCCGAGGGCTGCGGTCCCACGCCTGGCCCTTTGTTCCGTCCCGGCCGGCGGCGCAGGCCCGGGCTCCGCGGCCCCTGCCCTCACCTTGTAGACGTCGCCGTAGGTGCCGCTGCCGATGCGCTGGATCAGCTCGAAGTCCTCCTGGGGGTTCCGGCGGGACAGGTCGAAGCCGGGGTTCATGGCGGGCCCCGGGTGCCCCCCGCCTCCCTCCCGACCCGGGGAGGGGGGGCGCTCAGGGGGGGCCGCACGGAGGGAGCGCCCGCGGCAGCCCGGCTCCGCCGCCGGTCACAATCGCCCGGCTGCACGGCGCGGCCGCCGCCGACCACGACGAGCCGCCCGGCGTCCCCGCCCCCCCGCCGCCGCGCGGAGCCGGGTCACACCCACCAGGAGAGGAGCGCGCCCGCAGCCCCTCGCTCGGGGTGCAGCTCCAACATGGCTTCCGCCCGTCGCTCCGTCCGCCCGCCCTCCCGTTCCCGGCCCGCGCGCCAATGCGCAGCCGCCATCCCGGAGGCCGCGCGCTCCCGGCGGGCCCCGCGCGCGCTCCCGGCACGCGCGCCCCTCGGGACGCCCTGGACGCGCCAGACGCGCCAGGCGCGCTGTCACAAAGTTGGACGGACGCACTGCTTGGTGGCCCCAGCCCGGAGCCGGTTGTAGTTGCTATGTGCCAGACAGACGGGTAGCCCCAACTTTTTAGGAGCAGGTACTCGCGGGCTGCAACCGAGAGCTCAGATCCTTGTTCCTAGGTTTAGGGGGAGGAGGTCCCCATGAGAAAGGTGAGGGAAGTGACAACTTTGGTTCTTGGGGTTGGCCTGACCCGGGTGCAGAGAGGACCGGGACAGAGACGGCGGAGGGGGGGAACGTGGGCGGGAAGCAACGCAGAACCTAAGCGGTGATTGACCTCTGCCCAGGGAGAGGGTTGGATTATCAAAGCCCGGGGCGGGGACTGTGCAAGCTGTCTAGCCACCCTTGGGGGTGGGGAGGGGAGGGAGGTTGCAGAGGGTTGGGCATGGCCGGGTCTATTCCCACACCTGAAATGTAAACACGTGACCATCCCGAAGCTACGTAGCTTCTACCCTACCTGCCCAGCGCTCCACCCAGATAAGATTCAGATAAGCCAGCATTACATTCCAACATTGAAGCCGCCCTCTCTGACTGCTAAAAGTTATCTAAAAAAGAACGCAGGCAATGGAAGGGTCTAACTTCTACGCATTTCCAGAAGTTGTAACCAAGTCGCTGATGGCCACACAGGCGTTACAACGTTGTATTTTTTTTCTTCAAAATGGTTTTCCTAATCTCTTTAGGCACCACACCTCCTAAGGATTAATGTTCCCTAATGCCTAGTGACTTCTCAGAAACTAGGTCTCCTCAAACTTGTTAAGGAATAGATAGATGAACTGTCTAGTTAACAGTTAACGGCTTCATATTTTTTTTAAAAATGTCATGTTGCTTACAGCAAAATTACATATTTACTAATTTTCTAATTGTTTACTTCGAATCGGGTGTGGTGGCACATGCCTGCTATCCCAGCACTTGGGAAGTTGAGGCAGGGGCATTGCTACAAGTGTAACACCAGCCTTGACTACAGAGTGTGTGTGGGGGGGGTTATTTAGTCGAGTGCCTATTGACTAAAAGATGTTGGGAATGGCCCTAGCATAAAGAGGCTTCCAGTTGTATGATGTTTAGTTATCCTAAAGCATCGGAATGTAACAGTGTTGGTTACATTTCTGCACCAGGGGTGCTTATCACGGGATTAATTCAGGATAAACCTTAAGGCTGTGCTATCTTGAGCTACTCCCGACCATGCGTGTTTTTTCCCAGCTTCTATCTGACATTGTTGAAGGCACTAGCAGAGGCTGAGTTGCAGGCCTGCCTTCTGCATGTGCTGTGGGTGGAGAACTGTTTGTCTTCTTTAGGCCAAGCATGCAGATAATTGGCTAGGGACTCAGATAAGAAAATTTAAGTATCCCAATTCGGAACCAGCTCTGCACTCTTCCTCTGGCCTTTTCATGCTTAAAAAACCAAGTTTAGGACTGAATCGCTTGCACCGGAAAGTTCTAATGGTTTCACTGTTTTGTTTACTGGGATTATCATTTGTGCATATAGCCGAGTGTTTGCATCACTAATAGACCTCTTTCAAAGGGAAAACAAATTTCAGCAGGGTTGGAGCAGGCTTTAAAGTTGTGCTTGTTCCATTTTGGCAGGATTTAAGACTCCATTTTTGCAGAGAGACAGATTTACTTGTAAGGGCCCGATTTGCCATATGGGTTAGGCCATAAATAAAAGGGTCTTTTGTAATTAACTGCTCACAAGGAATAAAAATACTTTGCCCTGCCCCTTATAACAAGCCTCTACTTCGCTCGAAGTAACACCAATGATCACACAGTTGCTTTGAATAAGAGAAAGGGCTTCCCTTGTCTACGATTAGAAACATCCTTAGAAGTCATCTGGGTTTCACTCTAGATTTACTGTTGCTCGAATACGTCCTGTGAAAGGAGACTCACTGCTGGGCAAAGGCATGCACCTTATCGTTAGATAAATACTACCAGTGAAAGTTCATAATGACCTGGGGAAAACAGTAGTATCTTCCAGTACCAAGTGCTTACAAAGAGCCAAGAACTATCCATGTATTATCTTATTTAATTCACACAGCAACCTGATAGCATAGGTCATATTATCTCCTTTTTGATGGTACCACAGGCTAATTAAGCTACTCAAGGTCACATAGAAGCCTCAGTTTTTTAACAAAGGCAGCTTACTAGTAAAGACTAGATTCTTAGCCGACAGTTTGTTCCATTTATAGACCATATCCTACCATATTCTTTTCTTCTTACAATGAGCCATACATCGTTTGTGTAATGCTTTTTTTGTTCTTTAAGTTACATTGATCTCCAATGGACTTACACAATAATTACTAGATTCTGGTGGTCCGAGAACACAGAAAAGAAGGGTCACAGAGCAGCTGCCATCCAGCGGTTTGTAGCATTACAAACAGCCCAATCAATAAATAAATGGGCTTAAGAAATGAGCAGGTAGGAGAAATACAGATGGCCAATGAACATATGAAAAAAAAATCTCCATCCTCACTGGTCATCAGAGAAACACAAGTCCAGACTACTCAGAGATTCCATTTTACCCGAGTCAGAATGGCAGTCGGAAAGAAAACAAGCAACAAATGTCGCATGAATGTGGACAAAAGGGAGCCCTTATGTGCTGGTGGGAATAGAAACTAGTCCAGTCTCTATGAAAATTGGTATGGAAGTTTCTCAAGAAACTAGAAGGAGATCTACCATATGGCCCAGCTATCCCCCTCATGGGTATTTACCCAAAGACTCCAAATCAGCATTATCATAGAGATATCGGTGTTTATTGCAGCACAATTCACAATAGTTAAGTTACAGAACCAACCTAGGTGCTCATCAAGAGAGAAATGGATAAGAAAAATGTGGTATATATGCACAATAGAATTTTTTTCAACCATAAAGAAGACTGAAGCTATGTCATTTGTGGGAAAACGGATGCAACTGGAGACACAAAGGCAATCTCAGAAAGGCAATCTCATGTTTTCTCTCCTTTGTAGTTCCTGTGTTGTATATAGTCACATAAAATCATGTGTGTATGCATTAAATGAAAGTGGAAGTGAAATTGTCTATGGGGAAAGCATAGGATTATCAGGAAGGGGAGGACCCAGAAAGGGGAAGGGGGAGGTACGAAGGCAGTGTATGTATGTTCAGCATGCAGTATATAGCTAAAGAAAAGAGAAACAGAAGCATAGAAGCCCAGGAGAACAGCATTAGAACACACTGGAAGATTGGGGACTGATGCTAAATTCATTTTTGAAGAATGTGTTGGGGGTAGTCAGGCAAAGAAAAGAAGATGGTAGTCCCTGGGAGAGCCCTTCAGCCTCAGGAGCCTTAAGAAAGCACTGCACAGCAGAGCTAAATGAAAAAGCTAGGCTGGGCAGCAGCCCTCATTGCCAGTATATTCAGACCATCGTTCAGTTAGCCAGTCCCTCCCGGGGTCCTGCCTTAGAAATTCCTTGATCACTGCATTCGTTTCCATTTCACTGGTCTACTTGTGTGGCTTACTGATTTCGAGCCCTCCCAATTTAACATAACTACATTCACATTTTGATGTTCTGCCAAAGAAATACCTAGCAAGGCTTAGATCAAAGAAAGATTGCAGAGACTGGAGAGCTGTCTCAATGATTAAGAGTACATTCTGTCTCCCAGGGGATTCTAGTTCAGCTACCAGTACCCATATAGGGTGGCTCACAAACATCTCTGGCTCTGGCTCCAGAAGACCCGATGCATTCACGTGAACATATCCATACACAGATATGCATATTTAAATTATTTTCAAAGACTACAACCAAGTCACACACTGGGGAGAAAAAGCAAACATAAACATGTATGTGAAATAATATGAAACCACAAATAAGTGTGTGTGTGGTGTGGTGTGGTTTGTGTGTGTGTGAGAGATGGAGGGGGAGAGAGAGAGTGCAGATGCCTGGGGAGGCCAGAAGAGGGTGCTAGATTGCACTGGAGCTGTAGTTACACACAGTTGTGAACCACATGATATGGATGCTAGGAACCAAACTTAGGTCCTCTGGAAGACCAGCACATGCTCTTAACCACAGAGCCATCTCTCCAGTCTAATTGTGCATGGTTAGGAGGTGGGGATAGGAAGAGAAAGGGGCATGAGTCTAAAAAGTCGGATTGCTTTTGTGAATTTTTTTTAAAGATAGGGTCTCCTGTAGCCCAGATTAGCCTCACACTTACTCTGTGGCTGAGAATAACTTTGAGCTTTTAATCCTCCTGCCTCCATCGAAAGTGCTGTAATTTTAAGTTTGTACCATGTTAACCAGTTTCATGTGATATTTGGGAATGAAGCCAGGGCATTGACATGCTAGAGAAGCACTCAACTGGGCAACTTTCCCCCCTTACTTTTTGTAAAGAACAAAACAAAACAAAAATTCTTTTTAAATCTTTGTGAAGTATAATTAGTAATAAATGAATGCATTTACAGTGCATGATGGTAATATACACACACAGATTATATATATGTATGTATATATAAATAATGATCATAAACAAGCTAGAAAGGTTTTTGTTTTTAAGAAAAGAACCAATTAATAAAGGATTGTAACATGTTAAGTTCTCCAGGCTTTTGTAGCAGCAGAGAAGTCCAGGAGGTTTGACCCAGCTCTACTTTGAGCCAATCTACCTGCCTTTGGATCTTGTCTCTGTCTCCTTTCCTGAAGGACCTCAGGAAATTAACTCCTACTAAAGCTGTTAGAGAGTTATCAAAGAGAAAATAAACATATAACTAGTATCTGGCATTACAGAAAGCCCACAAAGCACTAATTACCATTGTTTGGGGGCATA